CAACTAGATAAGTTTTTATCGGGTTCGATTAAAACCGAAATTATCCACTAAACGCTTGAAGTTACAAAATTGAAAAAAATGCAAACGATACTGTTTATTTCATCAGCTGAGGAAGCTAAGATTTCTCGTGGAATCGAGGACTGTAAGCGTTCAGCGGGTACTATAATGGGTCGAGCCAGATCGATGGTGGGAGCAGGCGATGACCGATAGAATTCCCAGATGAAAGCACTACAGGCTGCGCGGAAAACAGGGCGATGTGCGGTGCTGTGCTGGTATTCGAGGCAGGCGACAGGACAAGGATCGGCGGCTCGCACCAATGGCCTCTGGCTCGAGACGTCTTCCGCTCCCGGCTGCTGCCCACTGAACGACTCCATGGATCAAATTTCACTACTCAGCTGTGCTACCTTGTTTTACAAATTCTTGTCTGTTTGTTATTCTATATTCACAACATGTATTTATTCTCGCGCTGATACTATTGCACTAATAAATCCTTATAAGCAGTGCGGGTCATCACACTGGACTAAAACTTGAAGAGTGGGACCTGGAGCCCTCACCGTCCTCAATTTTTTGGCCATTATATCGGAAATTGCTCGCTTGGGATCACTCTACATACCATCATCAGTCTACAAGGCGAGTAGGTGGTGCGATATATATGAGCCTGGAAAGCCTATTCAGAGAAACCACTCTTTTCTAATAGTTATGTCGGAATTTAAACATTAGGACTGGCTCCGGAAGAAGGGCTGGAGAGCGAAATATCGCGACTCACGGAACGGAATGGAACGAGCAGAGTGAAGGGCTGTTCGACCATGTCATCATCATGTCGACGCACACTATCAATGTTGACTCGTTCCAGAAGCCCACTCGCTTGCGATGGACATAGGAGTCTCCTGATGCGAAGTTTCATAATGGTTAGGCCACATTGTCTTCAATCGGAAGATTCGCCTGAATGGCGTCGTTACTGTTCTAAATTTCTACACTGGATTGGACCTTCGTCTCGTCCGAGCCAGATTTTGTTTCTCAGTCTGTGGAGAGAGAGAGCTGTGAAGTTCGGGAAGCAAACCTTAGGGTCACTCAAAGCAGGGGCAACCTCGCTCTCCTTGCGAGTCTCTGATTCCATTATCGACACCATCGACGGAGAATACGAGCAGCTCGCATATCTCCAATTCATCTAAAGAACCTTCCGCCTTTTACGTTAAATCTCAGGCTGGGCTCTTCACCCGGTGCTAGTCCGAATGCGAAGCGCCCGTGGCAAACTGACAAGACCGTGTTGCTCTATAAGAAGTGATATCCCGACGATATTAGCCGATTGCTGGCCGAGTGACATTTATGGGGAAAGATCGGCTCAAGACTGATTTTAACGAGGACGATGTTTATGAGAAGGTTGGAGCCTGATGCTCCCTTTGTCCCCAATGAAACGAATACCTTGGGTTATTTATCTAGCTCAAAAACTCAACATGATTAACGGACTGAATCCGTTGTTGCACAAAAGGAAACGCGCAGCGTGGAGAAGTTCTAGAAGTAGCGAGAGAGTAATGGAGACAGCACAGAACATCCGGCACATTTTCGATACTGGTGCCCTTCATGCTCTGACTTCCTCTTCTGAGACTCGATCTCTACAAAAGCAGGAATCGTATGCTGTCAGTGTCGTTCAACGTGCTTTGGGAAGGANACAAAAGGAAACGCGCAGCGTGGAGAAGTTCTAGAAGTAGCGAGAGAGTAATGGAGACAGCACAGAACATCCGGCATATTTTCGATACTGGTGCCCTACATGCTCTGACATCCTCTTCTGAGACTCGATCTCTACAAAAGCAGGAATCGTATGCTGTCAGTGTCGTTCAACGTGCTTTGGGAAGGAAGATGCTGAGAATTTATTTATATACGCAATATCCGCAAGTGCACAAGGAAATCCAGGGTTCTTAGCTCCGTTAGTAAACGAAGTCCATGGATGCCGTTGCTTGTTTCGAAGAATGGAAAGTCGAAGACCAGGTGGGTCCGAAAAGTTATGCGATGTGATGACCGTTGGACCAGGTCGATTACTGACTGGACCCTTCTGGACGTCAAGCAAACACAGGGAAGGTCGCCAGCGAGATGGACTGGCGTCACCACGAGAGTTGGGAAGGAAATGCTAGACCCCGTGTTCCTCGAGTAATCCAATGAACTACTCTGGCTCGCGACAGGGACGAGTGGAGACGTTACTAGCGCCGGTCCGAGTAAATGGATGATCAAAGGGACGACGGGTGCTACTGGTGATTACTGGACGAACGAAGGAAGTAATAGTCCAGAATGGTGCAGAAAACGCGAGATTCGGGGCATTTAGAAAAATACAAGTCTACCTAAAAGTAGTGAATTTAGGGGGTGACGAGAACGTATCGGCAAAAGTTGCACGGAAGGGGTATTTAGAAATAGTGAACTCTAAAGAAGCAAAAACAACATCATGGTCCGACTGCTATGCTCACAAGGAATCTATCGGAGAAGCGACAGGCATGGGAATCATGAAATCTTCACCTTTCAGGAATCGTTGAAAACACCTCGAGCAAGTGTTTGTGCTTCTGCCAAAAATCTATCTTAGATTGGCGTTTTGCGCCAGAAAATTAGCTCCCAATCTCGTGAACTGCTACGAAAATGGGCTTCAGTTGAAGTCCGAATTATTTCATACCGTGCGTTTAATGACAACTCTAAAAACACATTCATATCTTTTGTATTTCCCATCAAACTCGTTCTCAGGCCATGAAGGGCACTCGATAACTAAGTTAATAATCCTCTCCAATTTCTGCCATCTTCTGCGAATTCAGTAAAAAAGGTGATTGGAGAAGCAGGATAAGACTAGCATCTCGACCCTTTTGACACAAAAGTTAACACTACTTTCGCATTAGATAATGAATATTAGGAAACTTTTGAATTGTGGAAGTATTGTGCCAGAATCATTAATGCTTTCTGAAAACTACTTTTTACGACTTGTAATTGTATGAGCGACTACGCTTTTTCCAACTGGGTAATTGGCCAATCTTGTCACATTTTCTCCATCTGGATGGTCCAGAAAGTTCTGTTGGAAAGAGCTCGAGTTCTCTGATTGTTAAAAACTATATGACCATACAATTGGTTGGCATATCTTCTCTGGAGAGACCCTGCAAGTGACATTTATAAGCATGACAATCTTCTATTTCTTATGTACGTACATGGATTTCATCCGAGATGCTTTCACACGCTGAAGAGTGAGCAAACAAAACGCGACCTAATCGACTTCAAACAGACTGGTCCATTCAGGTCGAACCAACATAGCTGCGCATCTTACCTCACGATCTGCTTGAAAGACAACTCAAAGCATCCCAAGAAACAAGATGGCACAAAGTGGTTCATGTGGGCTTGGCCAAGTTCTGTAACCATGCGCCAGGAAGTCACTGCATCGGATGTTTTTCTTCTAGCGTGAACTAGTGAACTATGTATTTCTTCAAGTAAAAGCCGTTTCCCTTCGAAATTGCCAAGATACCAGGAATATCATTTGCTAAGATGGTGTTTGACACGGTTCGTCCATCGCATTGTTTGTACTCTCTCGTAGCGACATGCGGTCCCCCATCTCCGGGACGAAAGGAGCAGATTGCTGGGAGAGGCCTACATATTACGCTGACATCCCTCTCTTGATTCTTGCAGTATTGCAGGAATTCAAAGATCTGGTTCACAAGATATGACAGGCACCGGCTATGGTGCAAGCCTGCTCTGAGGCAGATAGAAGGTTCTCAGAGATTTCCTTCCGCCCACCGGTCCCTTGTGGACAGACTGTCCGCGCCGTTTTCACACAGAAAAAATCTTGTCCTGGTCACCATTGTGCTGTCAACCATTGTAGTCTTCGGCCCAGTCGCCACGCTCTTTTGACGACTTCTAATCCTTTCCTTCCTCTTCTCGTTACTTCCACATGCGTTTTCTATTGCTCTTGGCACTGCTAGGCCATGTATCTGGAAACGTGATAGATTTGCTCGATGTTGGATCTCTTGAGCCACTAGCGGTAAATTACTGCAATGACAGGTTGGAACCGAAATGATGCCTTCCTTTTGATTTTTTTCCATTGAGCTCTTGAGCCATTTATTTGATTTCCCCAAACTATATTCTGTAGAGGAATCTCATTTCAGTTATGAATTTTTAAAAATTTGATTAAGTGCCTTAATGGAGCAATCAGGATTAATCAGAGCCACCATGGGTCAATTTCTCGGTTACGAATGCAGTGGAGAGTTCTACCACTGTAGATATCAAAGTGACGGTTTTCGAACCTACAGAAAACTTTGCAAAACTGGTAGTTTTTCAAAACTCAAGCCATGCCTCTGCTACAAGACAGTTCTAGCCTTTAAGGGCTTGTTTATGACGTTCTCGGTACACAAAACTGCAACTACGACTACAACGTTAAGAGCTGTGGTATTAAAGGAGGAGGTATCATTTATAAGAATATTTCTTCCGACACAAATTCCACTTGCTCAGTAATATGAGTGCTCTTAAGTGTTTTAACCGGTAATAGACAACAACAAAGCACTTTCCCCTTGATCATCATATTCATTCAGCTTCAAATATTTTTTGAGGTCCCATCGTCTGTAATTCGACCTCATTCCACTGCCCGCTGTCCGAACAGTGCCTCCCTCTTTCGAAGAGATGCGACGGTCACTACGATTGTCTTTCAGAAGAAGATGAGCAGAATTGTCGTAAGTCGTCTTGTACAAGCGAAACATGAAGGGATAAGCGAGCGTACTGTTTGTAGTAGGACATTAAGCGATTTGCTTCAACTGAAAGTGAGCTTACCTATTACAAGCTATGGTTGACTGTTTATGGATTGTTGTCGTTTCGTGATTGAGATTGAGGGTTTAATGAAAGGGCAATGGGATTGGTCTCTTGAGGTGGAATGACAGTTGTCTAAGATTGTATACTTCAGCATTACTTTATCATTGTGATCCGTTTGGAAGTCAGACCAAAATATCTATAGAAGGATTCATAAAAATGGGTCGATTTTGACAAAAAACGATACCACTCGAAAATTTCTCCTTTTTCGTCTCAATGAATGGTATTTTCACTGTAATCTGAGCAAGTTAGACAGCTGATTCGTACTATCCAGTTCGGTGCCAACAACAATCCCTTCCGTGAATGTTATAAAAGAAGCATAATAGTGCACCTTCTCAGGAAAAGAGGTCCATTTTGTTAATGCACATAACTTTAATTCAACTTACTTCTTTAGAATGAAGACTTAGGTTCTCACCATGAATAGATGCTTGTTTTTAGAATATTCCTGTCAATTCCACTGCAGAGTCAGTTCAAGCCTGCAAAAAATTTGTCGTTTGTGTGGATAGTGGAAGTTGCTTAGTGTAGATAGATCAACAGTTGCAAATAGAGAAACAATAGTTTTTGCAGCTCTCTGCACAGCTGATCAGTTTGCTTGCGTTGTGTCCGAGCAATGCATAGATATAAGGCGACGATGCAATGGAATAGCTGAGTGCAGCGATGGCACCGACGAAACTTACTGCGAAGGTTAGTGTCCTACACCTGAGATACCCTCGTAGTGGCTCTTCTCTCGAAGTAATTTTAGAGCAGGAACAATCATCAGGAAACCTTTGAACGCGTTTAGACTGTATTTTCTCCTAGGGAGCTTTCCCAAAAAAATCTTGTATAAATTGTCGTTGTTGTTACTATACCCAAATGGCGTGTTCTACAGAAATAGGTATCTCAAGCTGAATTTTGGAGAAGAGATCGTGCCTCTAAGAAGAGTTAAGAGAAGATTCGTCAGAATAACTCAGAATCTGACGTAGGCAGCGATATAAACTCCTCATTACTACTAAACTGGAAAAGAAAGCAGCGTACCATCTCACCTAGGTATGAGATGTATGAAGAGCATTTCATGGTGGCAAAAGCGAGTGGTCTTCGGCTAAACACCGGGAAGCTTTATAGTTGCAGCAAGTTCAGTTCAAAATCAGCAAGAAAGCACTCAGTATCTATCCTGGACTCGATCTTGAACCATGCATGTGATAGTGCGCCCTTTGCCGATGTGTCCCACCCTCATGGTTAATTTCGGTAATTTAAAATCACACAATAATCAACATCAAAACAAAGTATTTTTACAAGTTATCATGAATGGTGAAGAAGTAAATTATGCATGGATATTAATGGGATGTACGACTTAAAACTCATTATAGAAGGTGAACGAAAGTCCCGGGCCAGCGATTAGGAACCATTCGAATAATGATCTGCTTCGCTCAATCAACGTTTTGCTATTTCGAATACCCCTTAAGAACGACTCCATGCCTGCCTCCTCATGTGTAGGTGCATGCAAGGCTTTTTTGGTTTTTTTTGCGAATTTTTTAGTTTTGTTAGATTTGCGACTCTCAGCTTCCAGTATTGGATTTCTCTTCTGAGCGTCCCTACCCGTAACCCGTAGTCCGTAAAAGTATTAACATTCGATGTTCAACGGTGAACTCTAAAAGTCGACAGAGAAGACACTTCAGCACAAGAAAGCCTTCATATTCCTCGGTGTAGTCTACAACTCAATAAGGATGGGAGTTCGCCTAATTGAAATTCGAAGATTGCCATTTTTTAAAATCTCTCATTACATTTCTGCACGTGGTTTCGACCGGATGGTATGTCGTAGCGACGAAATTCTTTGGTTAGGAATAGCCACGGAGCGTTCCGCAAACGAAATCGACTATTGTTTCGTGAGAACGCCGCACATGTGAGGGTGATTCTCCTTTCAATAGAAATGGACACATAGTCTTTCAAGGTGCGACAATTCTTCCCAACAGCTCAAAGATGGGAATCGATTAACTAGTCAGGCGTCGCTTAAGTACAATCGAGCGTTTCCGAATTGAATTTGGACCTCATGGACAGAAACTCTCAAAGAACTCAGCCCCCAAATGCAGATAGGATCCTGTTGGAGGCTACCTTATTTACTTTCATCTTCTATTTTTTGGAACCTAGGCACGGTAGGTTATAGGGACTCTGTGTTTCCTGTGTGTCTCTCAGAGTTGGTCGGTGGGACTTTCACCGGAACGAGCTCACGTTTCGATCTAGTCATTGTCTTTGTATTCCCAGGGATCCACCTTTTAAGAATCTGCCACCAAACTTTCGCGTTATGTCAGTATCCTACTTACTACAAAGCGCTTCTTCTGTCGTCTGTCGTTATGTATGTCTGTCACGAAATTCCTTAGCTCCTTTAGAGCTGGCTGGAGAGACCGGGTCAAGCGTGGGATGGGTAAGCCGTGTCCAGAAAAGTATAAAGCACGCATCAGCTTGGCGGAGCCCCGCCCACAGTGGGAGTGACGTGCATCGGAATGAGCTGTGCTGAGGACCATGATTTCAAATTCAGTCACAAGACGACTTCAAAACTGGGGTTTAAAGGTTGCTAGAGGGCGTTCTCCAAAAATCCGATGCTTTATGAAAACATTTTGTAAAGTCATAACTCCTGTTCCCGTAGACCTAGAAAGTTCAAAGTTGGAAGGATTATAGGCGGCGGGATGGGAACACTTATGATGGGTGGCAGGACCAGGCTCTGCCCACATGGAGCGGGATTTAAGCAGAAGCTCATAAATCCAACAAAGGTCTCTAATGAAAATCAGCTCATGCGGCTTTGTCCCTCATGGCTAGGGCCCCTAGCGCACGCGATAGCGTGGTGAAGCCACCTGGTGAAGCAGTAAGGTTCCTATTGGCTGTCAAGTAGCTGAATAAGTGGCACATGAAAACTTTACACATTACTTTACTTGGTTTTCTCCTAGTAATTTAATAGTTCTATGATTTGAATTGCACTCGCATGCTTATATAGTCGTCTACAATTTGACTACAAAACAAAAAACATGCAGAACGTTCTACGAGAGACGAATTTCATTCTTACATTTCTTAATTTTGTTCTAATTTTGCAGTACCTATACTCCTGAAATAGAGTATAGAGTTTAAAATGTTGTGAGCAGCTTTATTATCGAATTATTTGTTTAGGACAATATTTCCTCGACGGCTGCTTAGGTAACTTCGGTCTTAGAAGCTCATTGTGTTTGTTAAAGTTTCTTCTCTTCGGAAAACAACCGTCGCAGTTTATGTGCTACTGATTTTCTGTTGGTTTTTATGTCTGATCCGGAAGATATCCTTTGGATCAAATCGAGCGAAGAGTATTCTGAAAGAATGACCTGAGAACCACAAAATATTTTCGATCTCTCACGACAACCTTTGTCTAACCCTTATATAATGCCCGAATGCTATATTTAAATTCGCTGGACAATGCAAATTATAGGAATTTTCTGGATCCAGTGCTTAAAAGTATTCTTTTTATTAAGACATTACAATCATGACTAGATTCGAGCGGGAAATCAACGTCCCTTCAATTTCTGGGCTAATCGTAAGAGGTCAGCAATTCCAACCTTAGATCTCCAAATGAGCTGCGCGGTGGTGAAGGGTAAACAAAGAAAAACCAATCCGTAACAGTCTTTCATTTTTATAAAACTGTAACTAACCGTTAAGCAACACGTTGGGTTCATTACTAGAATTCGTAGAAGCAATACGCGGTACCACTTCTCGAAAGTCCTTAGCACTAAAATTCTGAACATTCTATATTTTCTGGAATAATATATACTGGTAGATAACTCGATGATTAAATGTTGAATTCATGCAATTGGCAATTGACGTCCACGCTCAGCCGCGAAATAAATAATCGAGTCGATTAATTAACACAAAACTCGCATATCGAGACAACTGGCTAGGAATGTAGGCGCCCACTACAGGCGAATTGGGAATACGCTATCATAACCATATTCAACCATATTCACTCCATGCTACTTCAATCAAACAGAAGTGAACAACAAGTATTACAGACTGATATGTTTGCAGTTTGCGGCAACGGTTTGTTCCACTGTTCTAAGAGTGGTGAATGCATTCCTGCCTATGAGCGTTGTGATGGAAAACGCCAATGTCCCCACGGTGAAGACGAAATGCTCTGCAAGTGAGTGCCCCTACTGCACTCCTCAATGGGTTGTCTCGTGTTCAGTACGCGTTTTTCAGAAAGGCCCAGGACAAGCGAGTGTTCACATGCCAAAGTCGTGATCAGGATATTCCAATCACTCAGGTGGTGCTCTTTCTTTTTCAGATGCTCCTTCGTCAAATCGGATAATTATAAGACACGGTTGTAGCTTTGCGACGGTTCTCCTCAATGCAAAGATGGGTCCGACGAAATGTACTGTGAAACTGCCGTCGATGCTGGTCATAGTCCACTGGCTTCCATGTCTGTGATCCTAGAAATTAATCAACACTTCTTTCAGTTGCCCTTCCTTTTCAGTTCTTTCTCATCAAACCTGAATCCAACCGTTGGGCCAAGTGAATACGAGGAATACGATGAAACTGCACCAGAGGAGGATGATAAGCCATCTTTCCCTCTATTATCCATGGTGGTGCCACCGGTCGTTAAAACGTGAGCAGATCCCTTGTTTACTTTTGCAGAGGCCAATGTGGGCCAATGCTTTGTGCGACTCTACCACTTGTATGATTCGAACACCAGGACCTCAGGGGTAGTAAATTGGCATGAGACCTTCCGAACAAGATGAGGTTTCGTTACCACTTCCTCCTATCTTTAGTGAAGGTCGTAGTCACCACGATTTTGAGTGTAATTCGAACTTTGAGTTTCTCCAAAGACAAGCTGGTCAACGTCAATTTTTTTNTTTTTTTGGTTTCCACCTTTTTGTTGAATGCCTACATACTGAAGTTAATCAACACATAAACAACACATGGAAGGCATTGACCAGTTCTGAGATTACTTATATTTATTGTCCTAAATTCGTAAAACGTTAAAGTAAGCATGGGGCGGGAAAACAAGTTACGTAAGAGCCTTTATCCTGGATGCCCTTTTTACAATCATGCTTCAGACTTTTCATCTTCAAAATCCACGGCAAAAATTTTGTTTACTTTTTTATTAGCTAGTCTATTTATTTATTCACTACTTCCATTATGGCACTTCGACAGATAGTAGTCGAAATTTCAATTTTCGCGAGTACTCATTGACATTTCTGCCGTCACAATTAATTGAATAACTCACTCGAACAAGTATCTGCTCAATTTTACGGTGCAGTACTTTTCTGGAACGAATGTTTGCATCTGCCAAAAACTGAATTTTTCATTCGCAAACTGCAGCTGGGAAGTTTCTCGAGCTAACACCTAAAAATGTAGTAGACCTGTTCATTCCCATCCAGGCAAACGAATTTCAGAGCTCCTTCACAGACACCGCAACCTCCGAGAGCAGCTTCTTCTGCAAACACACCTTGGGCGTCATCAGGTGCATTCAGAAAACAGCAACCTCCTGAAGCCGCACCACAGGAGGTAAGTAGCGACATGCCTTGTGATGCGAAAGTGATCCACTTAGAAGTAGTTTCATTGAGGTGCTGGTATGAGAGCAAGAGAATTGAATGTTGAGTCAAGCAGGAGCAGAAAGCCTAAAGGGCACATTATAGGACCTTATTTTGCGCTTTATGCTATCTTTCGACTTTTGAAAGCAATTCTTTCTGAACTGTCTTCTTTCACTTCTCCAGACTTCAACTCTTCTTATGCCAACAGAACAGCCGTCGACGACATCACGGCCAGCACCGGAAACAACAACGAGCCCCACATCGGTAGAGTCTTTGTTCTACTATGACCACTAGATATTTCTGCTTCTTTTTCTACTTTTTTCTATGTTGCTACTCGTAACCAAGGCTGCAATGGGTACTGAATCTTCTATTTCATGCTGTTGTATACTCTTTTCTGTCTAGAAATTCCATTTCATTGGGAAATCCCAGCTTCTCTCACCCCAGGGTCCACCAAGAGGATGAACATTTCGTAACGGAGGAAGATGAACAGTGCGTAATAGCCATAGTCATGGAGCAGAAAGACTGATCGGCCGAAAAGCCCCAAGTATGCTCGACTTTGAAAGCCGACCAGAAAAGCTCATCAGGAAAGAGCTGCATATGATTGTGAAGCAGTACTGAAGGCTTTTTTTTTAAACCGAAACGCTGTAACCAGTAACCACTTTTTCCCGAGTCCCGGAAATGGTAGGGCCCAATAGCTTGAGTTGCCCATTGTAGAGGAGAAAACGGAAAAGCCGAGAAACGATCGGACGAGTGAGGGCTTCCTTGTTCTGCTGATTTTCCGCAAATGCAGAGGCTGTGACGAACGAAATGCGTGTACGGTGGGCTGCTTGTTTGTCCCTGTAGACACAAATTCTGGCTCTTCAACATATGTATGTATCTGATAACCATGCAACTTTGGGGCTTTGCGCACTAATTGTTGGATTCCATTCGTGCAGATGAAAACTGAATTGACGCAAAAACTCTGACCACATGAATCAAAGGCCCAGTTCACGATAAAAATGGTTTCTGAGTTTTCCCTACAGTACCAATACGAGGTTCCCCTTGCAATGATAAAGGATAAAGTTTTCGGCGTTAATCAATCCCGTCTGAGGGGTGCGCCCCCGCACTCGACCTCCAAGCCTCGCACTCATTACGCCACCTTCGGAATCGTAGGGGCGTAATGAGCGCGTTTGTGGCCTATACAGTGACTTGCAGTGGCCGGCCGATGTACAAGTCAGTGCTTTTATCCTCCCAGACGAATCTGGTAAAAATTCACCGACCCCGGAGGGATGGAAGGCTTTGTTGGCCTAGGCAAGCATCGATCCTGGATTCGAACTCCTGACCGTGCATGTAATATAGTGCGCCATTTGCCACTACACCACTCCGCCCGTTCCCCCTTATACCTGTCGTTATAATTGCGAAAAATAGGGATAGGGCACAATAAGGAACCACGGTTCAAAAAACTTGTCTTGACCCATAGCGACAGTAAAAGGCAGTTCTGGGCAGTTATGGTTTGATAATATACGCACTTTGCTCTATGGGAGCAAGTTGAATTTCGTCCCAAGAGCTCTTGCATGCCATTCCTGTCGCGGTGATCTCGTACAACTTCCCTTCCACTACTTTGAAAAGCCTGAAGTAGGCGGATTTTCTCGCTTCCTTCACCACCGATGTACTCCTCTACATCAACACTTTCGCTTTTCAACCCTAAAAGAGTACTTCGAAATTATTGTGGACTGTGCCTTTAAATGAGGTAAATCGAAGAAAGAAGTTTAGTTTCCTCTTGGCGCTCACCATCAGATTGCTAGATTCTGCAAAAGCCCGCATAATCCACTTCTTTATCAATTATGAATTCAGTAGACACTTCTGTCCGTTTCTAAGCAAGGGACCCTTTTTAAAGAAGGTTGCTCGATAGAAGTGTGTACAATGTTCAGCAAACACTTCAGATGGAAAAACAACCCACGAACCCGATGAACTACTGATTTTTCCAGGCTGTACCACCGACAGTAAATCATGCTGTGAACTCTGAGAGGGGTTCAGGTCGCTATCAAACTCGACCTGCTTCTGATGTTCGCGAGAAAGTTGTTGCTGCTACTTCTCCAGCGGTATGTCTTAACCGATTAAGGGAGGCATTTATGTTGTTCTGTATTTTCCATAGCATCTAATGTGTGTATCTAATGTGCTTACATGGTGAAGGGGCTCTTTTAAATTTTATCTCCTCGCAGTGATAAACATAAGCACTAAGTCTTGAATGTCGACGAGATTTTCATCCAAACAGCATTTTATATTGAAGGTACGACCTCGAAACGAAAATCCAAAATTGCTTTTCGCCAAGCCGCCGTTACAAGAGCGACAGCAGAAACGCGGTGAGACATTCAAACTCACTTATGTACTTTCGACTCGATACCATTCCCATATCACACCAGAAGAAACGGCTCATCCTACAGAAATGAGAAACTCTGTTTATGGAAATGTTTGATTCCGCCAACCATGTTTGGTCAAGTCCATGATGTCTTCTTTTTCAGTAGAATCTTCAACTCAGGCAGAAATCGTCCACGAAGTGAAGATCTCAGCTATCAACCCAGAAGGAACTCGGTCCGTCGCCCGTAATCTAGACAGAGACGCCCAAATCCTCCAACAACTTGGTGGTCAGCTCAACTCACGACTGTCACCGTGAGTGAAACTTTTACTTTCTCTTCAGTTCACATAGCATTCTAATTAGAAAACTATGCAACAAGCGCTATGAAGTGAGGGTGTTACTACTCATCCAAGCGTCTGAGGACCAATGCCAGTGCATGGTCATGCATACCTAGTATGCTTTTTTGGTAGTTCTATCGATGCTGGACGGTTCGAAAAATGAGCGTACTGGCTTGGGGGTAAAAGAGCCTTCTTGAATCACGTAAAGATAATTGGAGACCAGAATAATGATTCGAATCTTACTTGGCGAGATATTCCCGAATTTCGAGCTACATGAAAATTTTGGCCTCACACTATTTCCATTACTTACCTTTTTTGGTCTCCCTTAAAACGAAAAACAAAAGTAGAAATCTATTACTTTTGTAGCATCCCACCCAAATTTGTCTGCACGCAGGTGTGACAGCACGCTTCCTGATGCTTCCTTATGTTCGCCCTATCGAGAGCAGCGAAGCAACAAAATCATGAGAGCACTACTTCTGTATAAGCTTCGAAATGAGTCGAAATGAATCCCTAAATTGAAACAATTACCGTACCAGATTAGCTGTCTGAAACGATCACCCTATATTTTGTCATTCAAAGAACACCTTTTTCGCCGGGATCCCTCACTTTAGTTACCTGTGACTATCGTAAGTCCCTTTATGCAGCGTCCCGTTGAAACTAATCACACTGAGATAAGTGCTATACACTCAGATTACTGCAATGAATGTTGCCTCCATAGCAACTTGTCAGGAAAGGAAATAATCGCTTTCTGAGCTCCTATACTTTTTCACCTGGGAGAGCAGGTCATTTGTCGAGTACTGAAGCAGTCGTAAAGTCCACCAGGAGTAATCAGTTGGAGCAGTTCACCAGATGCACTGAGGGACTTTTCTATAAGATGAACGTATGAACGAGATCTTTCGGTTAGTCGGAGCTAGGCATTAAATCCAAACCCTCCAGATTGAGTCCAGCTTGTTTTCAACTTCCAAATTACTGAGGACATCGAATCAAGCTTTTCCCAATGCAACACTATGTAGAGCTTGACCAGCTGAGTTGACCGATGTACAACCTATAAAGAAAACTTGCAACTAAGCTACCCATGAGCAACAATTACAATTAGGGTGGACATAGTTCATCATGGAAAAGTGACGTTTAAAAGCATTTTTATTTCCACTTGCTAGTTTGGGCTAATGGATTCATGCTGTTACAAGATGGAAATCAGCAGCAGAACTTCCAGATACTAGTCGGTAGTATTCCTTCGACATCTTTTCAGAAAATCCCCGTAAATTAGCATTCACAACGATTTGAGCGTGAAATGAGAATCGTTCTGTCTCAAATAGCTATCTATTTATTTCTTGCACTCGTACATAAGTAAGAGAACGATAACCTTAACATTTTTCGGAAAACGTCCAGTACCGTCAATCAAATGACGTCAGCGCTGTGTAGTAATTCACTCTTTTGAGATGGGTTTTCTTCTGATGATTGATGCTGATCGATGTCCTGCCGCTTCTCTTTACGCGATATCCACAGCGGTCACTCGGGATGAGCTCTTCACTGGCATACATAACTCGATAATACATTCAGCATAGCAATAAAAAAAAGGGTTACCAGATTACAGAAAGTCGAGACACAAGAGTATTAGCCGATGTTAAAGCTACTGCTCACCTTGTTTACCCATCAAATGGATTCTACTTGGTTCGCAGGACCTCCCTATGGCTAAATGCACACGCTTGGTCGAATAAGGAGAAGGTTCTCGGAAAATCTCTCCCGAATGAAGTATGGCAAATACACAAAAAGGTTTGGGTGGCAATCAGTTTCGATGACAGGACTCCTGGTTATAAGGAGCTCTAATTCTCAAGTCGGAAGTCTACGTGAGATATTTCAAGTAGCAGTTACTTCAACCGGGCTCTGAAGTCGAGGCCACGGTCTTCTACTTATCTGAAGGCGAAATCGGGATCAAAAGTTCATTTTCATGCAATGCAGTTCACTTCGGCTTCAGGCCTTTTTTCAACCCTTGCGTCCACGCTGGCAAGAAGCGTCGATCTTAGCCAGATAGGTAAACGTTTGGGTTTTAATGTGTCTGCAGTATCTTCGCCCATTGTGCCTTTCAGTACGTCTATGAGCTCAAAAAGGCCATCGTCGAAACGTGGACATGGCCATGTTCGAAACGTAGACATGGCCAGGTTGACGAACCGTTACCTAGAACCTCGACGGGAGCATGGGTGACCGTCAAGGTTTAAAGGGTAACCGGAAAGATAGAATTTCAATAGTAAACTGGTAAATAAAGTGTTGTGTTGCTATGCCGATGGTTGAGTAACTTGTTTTGTTGAATGGAACTACAATTATGCGGCGCAGTGTACATAAAGTTGTCGTGGACCACATAATTTTTCATGCCACTTTGCATTTTTTTTGTGACACACTCGCCACATCGCTACTATTTTGAAAGAGCGGCGTAGCCCAATGTGTTTAGTAACCTGTTTGCTTACTATAGAGCGGAATATCGATGTAAAGCCGATATGAATCCCAATAAGTGTAGTGTACGGAATAGGAATTCAAATGGCAAATATTCACGCAGTTATGTACGAGAGCACAGCCATCCGACGCTCGGAAGTATGGTCCTTCACCCTGCCTTCTAAGGTAATTTATGATTCAAATGAATGAGAAAAAAAGGGAGCGGAAAGTTGGTGCAACCATATTTCGCCGAAGGCACGATTTACTAGAAAATGCCGATTTGTTCGATCAGTTTTGCCTAAATGTTCTTGGCCATGAAATTCAATCAAAGATGTAGATGCGCTGAAAGGTGGGTATAGGGCAGTGAGGCATATGATATCAGTAGCAGCCTACAACGACGTCATTCTATTGCCTTTCGAGCAAGTACGCTACCACTATGAACAGCCCTATATGGGACAGCAATTATGGCATGTTTACCGAGGATTCGATTCCTCGATCACACTATACCGCATCCGATTGTCGAGGATGTTTCCTTACAGGAAGCTTTTGTCAAAGATCGAAAAACTGCTCAGCGACGAGTTGGGAGTGAAATCAGCCGGAGAGACCTCACAAGGATTCGTCACTGAAACGTCTGCCTTACAGTAGGCTTTCAATTTTTTCTTTTTTGCATTATAGTAATAACTGTCTTACAGCTCCCGAAGTGCTCCCGTAC